TCCTCATAGTTAAACGACTGCAGACTGATTATCTCTCCAGTCTCTGAGTTAATATTCACCATTGTAGATAACGGCATCGGGTCACTGTTACTTTGTAAAAATGAATAACTCACCTGACTGTTTCGGTCAGCGTCAGCATCAGTTGCAGTCACTCTTTTAAGCACTGCTCCTACTGGACTGTTTTCATTCACGTATACATTAATCATGGCCTCTGGGAACAGAGGTGCGTTATCATTGACATCAGAAACTTGTATGGGAACTACACTCGTGCTGGATAGTGGCGGGTTTCCTTTATCAGTAGCGACTATTGTTACGTTGTAGTTAGATATACTCTCTCTGTCTAGTGGCCCATCAACTAACAAAGAATAATAATTTTTGTAGTTAGTGTCGAGTTTGAATGGAACTTTATTTTTAATTTCGACTTTTACATCACCGTTTTTCCCACCGTCTTTATCGAGGACTGACACAAGTGCAACTGCGGTGCCTACAGCCGCATCTTCCTTCACTGTGTTATGTAGCGATGTCACAGTAATCTCAGGAGCATTATCATTTACATCCACCACTTCCACCAGCACCTTACAATGAGCAGACATCGGAGGATGCCCTTTGTCACTCGCCTCAACACGTATCTCAAAAGCCTTTCTCTCTTCAAAGTCTATATTACCTTTCACCCTAATGATACCTGTCTGCTGATCAATTTCAAATATATCCAATACGTGATCTTGATCCTTGCTTCTCAGTGAATAAACAATCTCGCTGTTAAGGCCCTCATCTGCATCGGTGGCGTTCACAGTTACTACTGCTGTGCCCACAGGTGTGTTTTCTTTAATTTTAGTTTTATACAAAGATTCGCTAAAGATCGGAATGTTGTCGTTATTGTCTAAAACATTAATAACGAGCTGTGAGGTGCCTGATTTTGGGGGAGTCCCTCCATCTACAGCAGTCAGCGTCATGGTGATCACAGGCTGCTTTTCTCGGTCTAAAGCTTTCTGCAGCACTAACTCAGCAGACACACTATCACCTGCTTTGTGCACCGCCAAAGAGAAATGTTCATTCTGGCTTAATTTGTAAGTATTCACTCCGTTTCTCCCCACGTCTGCATCAGTTGCTTCAGATAGGGCGAATTTCACTCCTGGTAATGTACTCTCTGCGATATACAAATTTTGCAGTTTGGTCGTAAACAAGGGGGCATTGTCGTTTACATCTAAAATATCAACGTCAATACGATAAAGCTTCAAAGGGTTGTTTATCACGGCTTCGACGCTTACTGGGCATTTAAGTTCCCCCGAGCAGAGCTCCTCTCTGTCTATTCTCTCACTGACATACAAAACACCAGTCTTTAGATTTACCTCGAAGAATTTTCTCTTTGATCCAGTAACAATCTGAAACATGCGGGATTCCAAGTCTTGTGAATTAAGGCTTAGGTCCTTAGCGATATTTCCAACAACAGTCCCCGGGTTTACCTCCTCTGAGACGGAATAGGAGAGCTGCCCAGCCACCGTTTGCCAGTAACAATCCTGTATAAAAAGCCATAGATATATCCCGAAATAGCTCCATCTCAAAGGCGATGACATATCTGTCCAATAGGAACAACGGTCCGATATTTTAGGCAGTACGGAGGATTTCCGTGAGCTTTATGAGTGGAGTATTCTGTGTTTGTTCCACCGTCCTCCGTGTCTTTAAAACAAAGGCTGAGGAGATGTTCACGTCGCCTGAAAACGGGAGTGGCTTAGTTGTATCAACGAGCAGGGCTGTCTCTGATGGATCAATAGCGGCGCCAAGTGGCGAAAGGGGTTAAATGCAGAGAGCAGTAAAAATATTTTCTGGCCTCTTTAGGTCACACCAAAGATAATTATAATTATATGCGCTGCTGAATGGAAAGTTCAACTGACACTGGAGAGCTGAGCATTACTTTCCAGCACCATGGACAGCACACACCAACTAGTGTCCTCAGGAGACTTTGCGTTTTACCAGTGTTAGTAGTATTTTCTTCTTCATGGCTTAAATGATTAAATTAAGAAGGTTGAAATGTGTGGTGACTGTGTCAGATAAACCCCCCCTATCCCATACACACACACACACACACACACACACACACACACACACACACACACACACACAAAGCTTTCCCTATTTTTTGCTTCGCTACCCCACTACTTTCGCTCTGAAATATTTTATCAAATAATTTCCAAAATTGTGCAGTAAAGTGTAAATCCTGGCCTCGCTGTAGCTACCACGAATTGCAACATTCAGGCATTTATTTGGGTGTCTTGCCACTGGAAGCACTGTCGGACTTGTACCATGATTGTCTGTAATAAATTTCCATTTTCCATTGCTGTCCTTTTTTCTTTTTTTTTTTTTTAGGGTGTTGCGGTTTCAGCATACTTGCATAAACACTAATTTCAGTCACAACAAGCTGTATATTTGCATTACAGCAATAGATTTCTGAGCACAGGTCAAAAATTGTAAAACTAAATAATGTATTTTCTACCACTGCTCACCCACCCTTCTCCCTTTTTTCTCTTTGTTTTTCTCTGTCAGCCTTGGGGGCAAGAAATGCATTTAACTGGACCCTCTTCTTCTACTGCACTCATAATCACAGGAGGGACAGTTATGTGCTGTGATGTATTTTGGAATTTCTCTACATTTCCACAGAGACAGCAGCATGAGCTTACGAATATTTCCTCGTTTGTAATCCCAGGATTAAGCCCTAGACTCAGGAACTCCTGTCCTATTTCCATTCTGTAGGAAACATGATTTGATTTGAAAATATTAATAACCATCCCACAGCTACAGTCATCTGCTAACCCCAAAATGCAATAATAATAATGGCTTACAAAGGATGACCTGTGTGCCCAATTTCCTAATGTGTATGTAAGAGAAAAAAGTGTACATGTAGGTTATTTGCATGCTGTACATGTGAGCACATGTGCACGTAGACCACCTGTCCCATGATGAAATTCCATGATTCATAGTTTATTTGTAGGTCACTGTCTATAATGCACCGACCTTGCAGGACTTCAGTCTGGATTATCTTCTCATAAAAGCAACATGACACACATACTGATGCTACAGTTTACTCAGCATTATATGAGGAGTATTTACATTTTACAAAGCATAAATCTCACCAGGTATTGGGCTTTGTGGCCTGCTGACAATGTCATCCTATTTTTTAGACTATAGAACAAGAATTTTAAAAGTAAATAAAAAAACACATGTACTACATTTGAAAGAAATAGTAAACCAAGCAATAGTGTCTGAATTTACAGTTCAGTAGTAGACCTAGTCCTCTGTAGATGATATATCAAACCTGAATTACATCAGATTGTAAGACTGCATCCAACCAATCACACTCAATCAAATTCAGGGTATATTCCTAAACATGCCCATTCTGTCATGTAAAGACAAACTAATCTGTAACACTGATTATGTCATGGAGATGTAAAAGATGACCACACATCATTTCCTTTTCCAGTGATACAGCTCCTCTGGGAAACATCTGCAGAATGATCAATTAATCAATAAACAGTTTTGCACACACTAATGCAGAAATGACAATTTGCGTACACTGACACACACAGACATACACACATGCATGTTGCCTTAACTGATTACATTATAGTTGATGAAATTAACCAAGGCCTTAGAAAGGTAGGATTTCATTATATATATATAAAACCTTGCATGCATTGATAAAAGTGACTTTTTCCGGAGGTTATGGTAATTTGATTTGTTGAATAATTAATTGTGAATAAACTGTGGTTTAGAAAAATACACAGTGTTTGCTCCCTGAACATGAGGATCTGTGCATAATAAATCTAGTGGTTAAGTACATGTGTGCCTTTTAACCTGCTTCTTTCTCTCTGCGGTGCACCTATCACATGATAAAGTTAGAGGAGAAACCGTAGGAAGCACCATGGGCAGTGTGATAAAAGGGGCAGAGGGAGCAGCGAGCGGTAGGTGAGGGGAGGGGGTTGCAGGGGCGGAAGCAGTCAAAGGCAGCGTTTAAGGCGTGTTCACTGCATTATTAAAGGGCTACCACCGCATATAGTCACCAAATTAGCTTCTGTATTGTGCCCCTCTAATGATTTCTTTATAATCCCTTGTATTTCTATCAGTTTTCTGTGTGTGCTTGTAAGTAAGTGTATGTTATAACAGTGTTTATACTGTACTGTTCATCTATGTGTGAGTAGATGGGGGATGGGTGCTATCTGAACATGCTCCAAGGCGAGTCCTCCCCCTCCTTTTCCTCTCTCCTTCTGCACAGCTCTGTTGTCTCCATAGCAACACCATCTTGGGTACAGACATTGATGCATATGTGCACAAGCACACACACACACACACACACACACACACACACACACATACACACACTCACACACACACTTACTAATGAAGAAGCCTATTGTTGTATTTTTCAAAATGCATGGGAAAATATATAAGTAATCCATTACATTCAGTACTGACTTCATCTTTTTTTTTTTTTTGTCTGCAGCTCACTTTGATTTAACCTCTCATCTTACGAGATGAATTCAATCACATCATAGTGACAGGCGTACAATACACACACACAAACTCACCCAAGCAAACACAAACCACACCGCATACCACACCAGGCTGGTCAGGGATGCAGTTGGGCTGCTCATACATTGGTAATGTAGCACTGCAGCAGCATATTCCCTATGACAGCACTTTAGAAGCAGTGCCTGCTTCTCTTTCCACCCCCACAGCTCCTCAGAGAGACTGACCTTTGCATCGAGCAATGCCCAACCTACCCTCTCAAGGGCCAAGGCTCTGGAGAACCCCGCCCCCGTCACTCCTGCAGTCAGCACACTATATCCTGCTTCATGTGACGAGATGCTGATGTCAGTGTGCAGTTTTTTTTGCGTGGAGTGGAGCCCATCACGACACAAGAGGGCAACCTACTCCTTGTGCATATTTCCTCCTTTACTCAGTAGCTTCTACTACTCTGTCATGCTCATTGTTCAAATCTATTTCTTTTTCTTCATTTGCCATGCTGAAGTCATAGATCCACATTCTCTGATAAGCAGTTGTGATCAGTGTGAGCAACAATGTCACCAAAACCACACCCAAATGCAGTAGCATACTAATGACTTGGATTCTCTGATGAAGTGGCAAGATAAATGGAGATAAGGAGGTAAAGAGACAGGCACAATGTAGTAGAAGCAGAGCACAGAGAACTAAAATTACACAACAGGAATCCAAACTCAGTAAAAAATGAGGGAGGAAAGGAAATGACACTTGGAAGATAAAGAAATCTAAAAATAGGGTGGAAATGTATTTGCTTTCCTTGGGAGGACATTTTCCTCAAGGGGGAATTACCTCCATGTTGACCCTTTGTATTTTTGTATTCTAAATCTGGACCCCCAGCCATGCAAGGATACAAACAGCTTCTATAGAGAAAGCTGTCCATTTACCTGACAACTATACACACAATCAAGCACATGTGAACATTTCCTCAAAAATATAATCTCTTAAATCCTTTATGAGAGAAATGGTATGATATGGATAGAAAAGAAGGAAAGAGAGAAAGGGATGCAGCACAAGATGAATCACTCCTAGCATTTAATCCAACTACCACTTAATCATTTATTTCCAAATCTGTGCTTGCCTCCACTGGTTTCTGGAGTAAGTAGGACAGGGGCGGGTCCAGGGAAACATGAGCCGGAACAAGATGAAAACCAGGACACAGCAATATGGAGCATGCCCAAACACACACATACATGCACACACCCCTGAAAGGCAGATCAACACAGTGGAACACAGTGTTCACTCATTTGGAAAGTAATGGCACAATGCCCAAAAATCACATAATTAGTTACTCTACTGTAAAACAACAGGCAGGAGTAAGAGCAAGTCATTAGTGCAGTGTGATTGTTCCAGTCAGTGGCATCAGCTGTCATTGCTTAACTGGACCAACAGAATGGTAGAATTTAAATTTTGACTAAATAAAATAGTTCTTCTACATACCCAGTATTCCCAAAACATTTTCTATACAGGACTGTTTTTGTACAGTTTAACAAATACCTCATTTAGCCACTTTATTCATGCAATCACTCTAACTATTGTTTCCGTTAAGTATAAGAGCATTTGTGAAATTGTGTCACACCAAACCAGCACTGATATTGCTGTTAATAGTCATAGATAATTATTGAAACAGCTATGGTGAATCTAATTAGTAAAAGCATATGCACTGCATGAATGGTAGCATCTCTGTGTGCTGTTGAAATGCAGGGAGCATTTGTGTGACTTCCATGTGTTTGCATGAAGGAGGTGTGAGAGTGAGAACCATGAAAGGTGGGAGAGACAGACAGTCTGTGGATGTATTTCCTTCGCATTCATTCTGTGTCTATGAACAATGAATTACACTGCATTTCATCCAGCGAGCAGGTTGTGATAGCAGAGATGCAGTAATGGTTTACTTTGCACCAACAGACTATTAATCAAGACTGTCAATAAAACAGGGTGTACAATAAGCTTTGGTAACAGCCAAGGCAGCACAGAGATCTGATTGGTAAGCTGGAATCGATGTGACTGTAATGGACACTCTGATTGGCTCAGCATTGTGCCTAGCGACAAAGGCAGTGTCCGACAGATTTCTCCTCTCACAGGGAGCACCCATAATTGATTCACTATCTCCTGTCTTGTATCCATGGTGACGCAGATGCAGCCCCTGCTGCTGCCCCTCCCTGCATCCCCCTCCACCACACCCCTCTTTATGAGCACTCAGTACATGTGCCAAGGACAGTGCATTTATTTTATCCTAAAACCAAACCGTACAAATGCATGCAAGTTAAAAAACACAGGCTGTATATGACTAAAATGCACATATTTTCTTTATTGTGCACATTCAGTGTTTAATCCTCTATTTAATGAAATAAGGACACACACAGCCCTCTGTGCGACTGTGTTACTGTCTTATTTTCATTCTCCGTCACTCTCTCATGCACTGAAACAGCCTGAATCAAACAATTTTTAGTGG